TTGAAACATATAATAATCGCAAAAAATGTTAGATATAATACGAAATGTATTTTATGAATATTCACATAATACGATTACTAGTATGATTAATTATTCATAAAGTACAACGTTTCGTATTATATTTGACATTTTTCGCGATAAAATTTCAAAAAGTAATATGAAAAAAGAATCGATACGCGACACTACTACCTGCTTGTACGAATCTCGGGAATAACTGCGTGGTAACTACGCGTAAACGTAAACATGACGCGCCGCTCCGTGCCACCCCGTGCCATCCCCACTCCAAGGTCGCGCGTCAATTGTCTAACTGTTGAAATATTACGAAGTAAAATAATATATTCTTTACAATTTTTAATGTTCTCCGATTAATGAAACATTTTTATATGTATCTAGTTTTAACGAAGCGAGTCGTTTAATGTGATATCATAATTATATTGTGATACCGAGAAACATATTTGATGTTCATTTTATAATTTTAAATATTTTGTCAATTACAACGTGCTGACAAAAGGCAAGAAGTGAAAAGAGGTTTTTACTAACATGATTTTTTTACGTAATTGCTCACATGAAATGCTTTTAACTTCCCAACATTATATTTCAATTTATATTGCTCTTTTTTGTGATTTACTATTAAATAAAGATTAATAATATGTCATATATCCTTTAAATAAAGCTAAATGTAAAAATTTATTTTAAATTATGAAACAATTTCGACTAAATAGAATAATATGTATAAATAGCATGCACATACATTTAGAGATATGTAATTTAAATATCATTTATCTGTTACTTTTCTCGTATTAAGAGAAGTAATATGAAAAATGACAAAATTATACGATTTAAAGTGATAAAAAGCCACAATTTGAAATATCTAATAATAAGAATCTCATTTTTATACCGTAAGAATCTCATTTTTATACTGTGAGAACACATAAAATATTTGAAATATTCATGAACTATGTATATGCGTAATGAATCTAATAATAAGAAATAAAGCAAAAACCGTGCAACAAAATCTATTAACTCTTAGTACATTCTTTAATTTTAAGGTAATCTTACGTAATTCGCGTTCATCGATATCTAATTTTCATCAATTAATGCGGACACCCGAAGCGACTTGTAAAACACGTCCGTCTCCCTGCGACGTCGCCGAGCGAATGCCGAAGTGATGACGTAGTCTACCAACGCGCCGCGCGGCACGCTCCCCCTCCTTATTCGCCGCGTGATCTTTCCCCTTGCTATTTACCAAACGCCGTGCATTCGAATACTCAATTATTGCGTATGAAAAATATTCACGGTTTATTCAATTATACGTATTTTATACGATTTTTACAAACGGATATCGCCGTACATTCGCATTTTTTGCTTTGTGGCATCTCTGGCACAATCCCATATTACTTGTATGATTCTTTTAAACGTATATATAATAGTAATATATAATTAGTAATTATTCGCGTGAGGTATTTTATATTCTACACATTATGTTTCAATTTTTATTATTTTTTTTAATGATTTGTACTTAAATAAACATTGATAAAATATTCTATATATGTTCTTTGTATAAAAATACATGCAAATTTTCTTAATATCGTGAAACAATTTGTGCTAAATACAGCTTTGGCTAAAAGTATTAAATATCTTATTAATTATTATTTTCAGTTAATAAATTAATTTAAGACACTACTATTACTGCAAATTATTCTGTGTTTCAGAAATTCTTTAAATTTATGTGTAATGCCAATCATGCTTCGATAAAATAACCATTACGACATATTTAAAATAAAAAGTATAAAATAAGTTTCAGAAACTTACTTAAAATATAAAATTGTAGCAATCAGTAAAAACTACGACTTGTTTAAAATAAAAAATATAAAATAGATTCCGGAAACTTATTTAAAATATTAAATAAGAAATAAGTCAGAAATATAATTATTTAAAATAAATATCTACTAAATAATTTTTATAATTTTTTTATTAAAACATATACTTTCATCGCTTTTATAAGTATATAAAAATTATTAAACGATTTTTACGTATATTTGGACATCTATAGAAAGTATTTGTAAAGTTGTATATTTATAACAAATTGTATATAAATTGTTATAATTAAATATAGTTAGTTACATTAACAAAATGAGAAAAATGTACTTTTTTATACAAACATATAAAACTCTGAAACAAAAATATTTAAAGGAAAAATATGTTTCAATATCTTAAAATTGACATTCAAAACTACAAAAGAAAAAATCGTTCAAGTGTCGGCTGTCCAAAAAATTTAATTATTTAATAACCTGAAAATTATGTTTTTTAATAAGCATAAATGGCTATAAATTGAAGATATATATATATTGCATTATTAAACAATATTTATGTATGTTTATACATATTTATACATATTCATGCATAAAAAATTATTTACTGGGGAACTTTGAATTATTTTTAATTATTATTAAATTTAACTCAAATTTTTTTTACTAATTGTAAATTCATACGCATTAATGTAAATGTTTTTAAGTAATTTAAAATCAAAAATATAATTAAAAATAAGTTCTTTCGATGATCATTTTTTATATTTTTTTATAAAATAATACATCTTGGAAGTTAAAACGAAAAAGAATAAAATATACGTATTTTTGAAATATATGAAATACGGAAAATTAAAAAAGATAAAGATTATATGAAATAAAAATTAAAGTATGAAATTATTATCTATGGATACCATTATATAGAAAAGTGTTTATTACAGTTTAATAAATATTGTTTTATTATTTTTCCTATCTATTCTATCCTCAAATATTTATTCAGGATTAAGTTTTATACAAGTTGATGCAGAAAAAAATTATACCTATATACATACATACATATAATATGAATTGTTTTCTAAGAAATTTCGTATTGTTTCACACTTCTTTGTATACATTTTATTAATGAAATATATAATAACAAAAATTTTAATGTAAAGCATATAATTTATTTATCTCGTTTTTCTGTAAAAACATTTTACGTTTATTAATTATTATTATTTATCTCAATGCACTTACTTCAGCCTATAATCTTTCATAACTTATTTATATGTAGTAACTGGATTTTATACCAGTTAAAGTAATAATATGATGTAAGATCCAATAACATTTTACAAAAAAATATAAGAATTTTATCTTATAATTATTTTAAAATCGCATACAATTTTGCATAACTTAAAATACTTAATTTTGAAATAATAAATTATTCTAAAAAAATGATTCTAATAATATATAAAATACGATAGGGACATATTTATTAATGTGAGAAAAAATTATTTCTTTTGGATCTTACATCATTCATCTGAATTTCTCATCTCTGCATGTTTTGAGATGAAATTCAGCAACGAATCATTTGAATTGTTAAAAATACGTACATGGAACTTGAATTTTATCAGATAATAATCGATTTAGTAATTTTTACTCATTTATTTTTAAATTAAGTATTTTTGATTACATTATAAAATTTACATTAAGAAATTTAATCTAATTTCGTAATATTAGAGACTTTTGAAATAAAAACGTTATTGACATAAAGATTTTTTAATTTAGATTTATTTTTAGTCGAATGTTTATATTTTTGATTTTGAATAAAAATAGCAAAATAAACACGAAATTTATTCGTATATTAATAAAATTATTATTATTATTAATGATAATATAGGCCCACAAAAAAAAGGTATTGTGTGCTGGGAGATCCAGCTATTCTTATGTATTTTGAGTTGCTGAATATAAATCTGACATCAAAATAAGACCATCCAGAATAAATTTTCAATCTCAATTGAACGAAAAAATGACCCTTTTTCACTCATTTTTTCGCTAATAATAAGTTTGTAAAAAGTAAACTGAATATTCAGAGAGGAGGGGGGGAGGGTAATTTGCGAATTCTTATATTTTTTGAGAGTTATTTAAAATACAAAAAAAATCAACAAACAACAAGACTAGGTAGACAATAGACAGGTAAGACTAAATACGTTATATGTACATACTTGATAATTAGAAAGAAGGAATTAAATCATTAATGTAATAATAATTAAATATCACAAACTATAACTTGTGCTGTGGTTTTTTATGCTCTTATTTTTTATATGTGTTAAACTAAATTAATTTCAAATTTTATTAAATTTTCAGCTACCCTGAAATTAAATTTTTTTGTAAAATTCTATACACGTACAAATTATGTAACGCGTTAATTAACTTTATCGTAAATAAATAAATAAATAAATAAATAAATATATATATATATATATATAATAATATTGGGTACATAATATAAAATTTATGTGAACTCT